GAGTACATTAGTCTGCTATATGAATATGTATATTAAAATAAGGTTTGACAGGTTGTAATACAGTGGTGCCACAAGATTCCAAATAGGACTCCACAGTGTCAAAACCACTCTGGCCTTTTGTGGTTTTTCTGAGTTCTTTGCAACAGAAAAACTGCTCTATTATTTTTCCACAATCAAAAAAGAGCATGTCTACATGAGACACTAACTGTGCAGTAGCTGAATAATAGTGCGCAGTAACGTGTCACAGCACAGTGTTAATATGCTACTGCTACTGTATTATTAGGCTACTGTGCAAGAGCATCACTAAAAAGGTGTTCATCAGCGCTGCTGTGCAATAACTCTAGTTACTGTGCATTTATTTAGTACTTAATTATACAAGTACTAAATAAATGCACATTAACATCTTGTGTAGGTGTGCCCAAAGACAGTAAAAGTTAAGAGCTGGTATGGCCCGAAGGGTGCTTTGAATCTAATGAAGGGCTCCTTGAGTCTAAAAGGTTTGAGAACCACAGGTTTAATCCAATATATAATGGCATTCCATTTTCTGTTCTCAACCAAAACAGCACATAATCGGCCACTTTCATCCATAGTGTACCTCTGTTTCAGTCAAAAGAGTTACAATAAAAGGTCAAATTAGTGACCCTTTTCTTTAATGCCTTGGAATTTCATGAAGTACGGGTGTTTTGGTTGCATGCATGACATTTTCATAGATTGGGAATTTCCCAAGTTTAAGTAATCTGTTAGAGGAAGGTGTAGGACTATAAGGAACTATGAACATTAATTTAAGCTGCCATCATATTAAATACATTTTTTCATTAAATGTATTACATTACTGCCAGTAAATCCACCATAGTTCAGAAGTCGTTATCTAAGATAATTCCCAATAAATGTACTCACTTCAATTACAGAATAGTTTATAGAAGGTGGTTAACTAATTTTTAGTTAACCATTGTGCACATTCAGCTAGTCCTAGCCAGGAAATATGGCCATTACAGCCTAATGTAGCTATTAGTTTATGTTCTTTGCCAAAAAAACAGCCATATAGCAAGCAGTTATAGATAAATCCTTCTGTCATTATACTGTAGCACATAGCTATAGAAATATAATAGCTAGAAGCAATGACCTCCATTCCAGGGCTAACAGATAGCTTTGTTTTTTGTAAACAGTAATGAGTAGGATAAGTCAAACAAAATGCTCTGTCAAAAAAAAAGGAAGGAAAAAAAGGAACAAAAATGGGAAGGAAAAAAAAGTTGTTTTCCTTTGAAAACATTTTAAATTGGTGCATTTTTCATTGTTTTCAAATTGGTATGACTTTTTTCTTCAAAATGTTTATCAACAAATATGGAAATGTTATATTTATGAAACCTGACAAAAAGCTGATGACTAATTTTTAATATTTTTATAATACTTTCCATTAAAAATGGTTAAAAAATTAGAAAAAGACAAAATGTTTCAAGAAAAAAATGAAAAAAAATTCTACATGGTTGATAATCTTGCGTGAAATTGCATTTTTTTTTTTTAGATATATCTTTCTTGGATGAAAAATCTTTACATATGAAAAATTCCAATCAGCTTTACGTACCAGAGGACTATTTATCAATGGTTTATACTGAGAAAGAAAGATAAACTCTCAGGTTTCTAGTTAAGGCACTAAATTAAGGCCCAAAAAAGCTAGATTCAGTTTCTGGCTTTGCTACAGACTTCCTGTGTGATCTTGGGCAAATCACTTAACTTCTCTGGGACTCAGTTTTCCAACTTCCTTTCACCTGTCTTTCACCTTGACTGCATCAATAACTTTTCTGGAGCAAGGGCTATCTGCTACTAGGTATACATGCAGTACCTAGCATAATGGAGTCCTGATCTCAGGAAGGGCCTCTCGGTGCTACTCTGATGTTGCTGCTCATCATCATCACCATAACTGTGGGTAAAGTATGACTATATATAACTGCTTATCCATAGTGATAAAGTTATGGGCATTAAGCTATTGTCCCCGGACCCATTATATTGGCACAGGGTTCATTCCAAGGTGAAGCTGAAGATAATAAAGTGAATTTTACAGCTTGCCAGTATACAACTTAGGTTCTATAATAAAATGCATAACATTCAGGACTGGTAATACTTTACAAAACTGAAATATTAACAAGCTGAAAAAATTTAAATGGTGCCTTTATTGCTTCTTGCTTCTCATAAATCTTTAAAGAAATGGGTAAAAAGAACAATGAAGATGTAGCTTTCTGTTCTCAATCCTAGCATTTTGGGGCCACTGTTCTGTCTACACAGTTTACTGTAAATATCTGCCAAATATTGACTAGAATCTTTTAATGGCAGCATTATTAGGTAAATATTAAGAAACAACACTGAACTAAACATTGAAACATCCACTGAAAAATGACAGGATGGTATGTCTTCTATTCTGAAAGAGTATATATACAATTTCACATAGCACTTCAAGAAAATGAAGAGACATAAGGCACTTTCATATAACAGTCAAAGGAAAAAAAGCCAGTAATTAATTTACTCTGATAAAATACCATGATTTTGCCTTTGAATTGAAAGAGATGACAGCTCTGATCTCTGGCACAACGGACTTTGAATTTTCCAGAAAGGAACTGTTTCACTGCCAGGGAAAAAGTCATTAATTGATTTGTATATAAAAAAAAAGTCTCCATCCCTCTCTGTTTCTGGCTTTATCAGGTAGGCTGTGAAGCTACCATACTGTCTCCTTCCTTGCTGTCAGCACTGTATCTATATTAATTCAGCCTGAGCATTTTTTGTTTGAAAACAGGGAGAACAATATTGTGTGAAATTCTTAGATCCCACACTAATGAACTCAAAGGCTATTTTTATGGCAGAAACATACTTATGGGACATTTCTTGAGATTCTATTTAACCAGTTTAGTGGGGATATACTTCAAGCTTAGGTTCTCACAGAAGGCTCTGCCTTTTCTTTTCGTTAGTGACTGATTGTTCCTATCACCTGCTTTTACATGTTTATTTTAGCCTAGACTGTGACACAAGTACCTCAACCTGACTAGTATCTTACTTGTGCAGCAGGCCACAGTCATAAGAGTCATAGAATAAGGTGCTTCACCACAAAAATAGCCCCATCCGGCCCTTCTTTTTATGCGGGTAAGATATGTAGGAAAGGGATAGTCATTCCCCGCACCACCCAAAATAAAAACATTCAGGCTGCAGAGCTGTCCCTAGTCCTGCAACTTGCTTTAATATGCCTTAAGGAACGTTTGAAAAGAGGGCAGCCTCATCACCCTCACCAGCTAAACTATTTCTCCATAAAACATGCTGAGATTTCTACAGTTCAAAAAACCCCCATACCAAGCCAAAGTCTGCCCTAGCAGGGAGGCCAAACCCCAATGACACTGCTGAAGCTATTCAGTTGCCTACCATTTTGCTGCGGAGTCGGTGGCTCAGAAAGCCCTTGTCCAATGCAAAATCCCATAGGAGCCATAGATGCAACTTCCATGGGTGCGGGGAGGGTGCTATGCAGGGAGAGGGGGGAGAGAGGTTCATCTGGAGACAAGCCAAGTCCTGGTGACCTTTAGAGCACTCTTTGGGGTCCCAAAGCGCTTCAGAGACATTGCTCTGTGTGTGTGTGTGTGTGCGCGCGCAGAGAGCACATTTGCTCTGTGTATGTGTGTGCATGGCACATTACTGTGCAAGTGCATGGCACATTGCTGTATGTGTGCATGTGTATGGAGGGCATGTTGCTCTGTGTAGGTGCATTGCTCAGTGTGTGTACGTGGCAAGTTGCTCTGTTTGTGTAGCACGAAAGTGTGTGCAAGTCTGGAGGGCACACTGATCTGTGAATGGCACATTGCTGTGTGTAACATGGCACATTGCTCTGTGTACGCATGTGTCTGGGGGGTGCATTGTTCTGTGTATGTGCACGTGTGTATAGGGAGCGTAGGGTGTAGCTGTATTGGTCTAAGGACAGAGGCCGGCAAGGTTCTTTGGGTAGGTGTGATCCCTTTTCTTATACCAACTAAACAGCTGGAAAAAATGTTCTTTGCAAGCTTTTGGGCACAAACACCCTTCAGTGAGTCTCCCTATGCCTGACAAAGGGTGTTTGTGCCCAAAAGCTTGCAAAGAACGTTTTTTCCAACTATTTAGTTGGTCTAATAAAAGAGATCACACCTAATCAAAGAACCATGCCTGCTTGTGTGTATAGGGCACATCCTTTTGTGTATGTGTGTGTGTACATGGTATACTGCTCTGTGTGCATGGCACTCCTCTGTGTGCATGGCACAGTGCTGTGCGTATGTGTGTGGAGGGCACACTGTTCTGTGCATGAGAGCACAGTTGCGTGTGTGTGCATGTGGAGGGCAGACTGGTGTGTGCGCGTGTGCGTGCACACCCGGCCCACCCCTGCCAGCTCCTCGGCCCAGACCCCCCACTCCACCCGTGCAGCCCGGGCCGGGCGGCGCCCCCCGGCCGTACCGGACTTGGGGTAGGTGACGATCCAGACGTCGCTGTCGCGGACGGGGCAGTTGGCGATCTCTTCCATGCGGCCGCGGCAGAAGGGCGGCAGGCGCACGCCCTGGTACTCGAAGTACTTGCTCTCGAAGTCGCCGGGCGTACCGGGCGTCTCGGCCTCGCTCTCCGCCATCCTCCCCAGCGGTGCGGCACCGGCGCTAGCGGGGGCAGGAGGCGGGCGGGAGGCGCCGCCCCGCACACACCCGGGCTCGGCAGCGAGAGCGGGCCCCCGGGGCGGTGGACGCAGGGAGAGAGAGGAGACCCCTCAGCGAATGGGCTCCGGCGCCGGTGATGTAATGCGGGCGCTCGCCGAAGGATGCGGCAGCGGCAGCATCATCCTCCGCCTTAACCCTCTGCCTGCCGCCGCGCCTGGGGTGGGGGAGGAGGAGGAGGAGGAGGACACATGGTGCCCTGCACACACACACACACACACCAGTGTGTCCTACACACACACAATGTGCCATGCGCACACACACAGAGCAACATGTCCTCCACACACACACAGAGCACAATGTGCCTTGCACACACAGCAACATGCCATGCACACACAGGAACGCACCATGCACACACAGCAGTGTGCTGTGCACGCACAGACATGCACACACAGCAGTATGTCCTATACACACACACACGCACACACACACAGAGCAATGTCTCCTCCACACACAGCGGTGTACCATGCATGAACAACTGGTGCCTTCTGAGACCGTTTGTAGGTAGCAGCATCAGCAAGGAGCAGGGGGAGGGTGGCAAGCGGCGACCTCCCGCAGAAGCCAGTGGTGGTGGCATATGCCCCCCCATGTCTCTCCCACGCATTGCCTATGGTGCCATGCACACACACACACACACACACACACACACACACACACACACACACACACAGACATGCACATATACCAGTTTGCCTTCCACACACACACACATGCACGCACATACACACACAGAGCCTCAGCTACAGCCTGCCCCACCCAAGACCCCAAGGCTAGTGGCAGGGGATGTCAGGGGCATTGCCTCAGCTCAAGTCCCTCAAGGGGGAGCCCTGTTCAGCCCTTAGGGTGCAGTCAGCCTAGGGAGCCCCAACCCCACCCCACTCCACCAGAGGACTGCCCTATGAAGGGGTCAACTGAGTGGCACCTTGGAAACCACCCAAAGTTCCCACTTGGGGGGGGGGGGGGGGGGGCCCCTTGAAAACCCCCCAAAGTCCCCCCTTGGGGGGGGGGGGGAGGCGTTATTAAGGCTACCCCTGTTCCTTTCCCATAAGCCTCTGAGCTTGATTCTCTCTATTCCCTAGGTCTGACACTTGTCATCAGCCTGCAGTTGCTCAGTGCCCTTCACAAGGACTCCTGGCAAAGGCTTGCAGAAAAATCTGGGCTCTAGGTCAGTGATTCTCAACCTTTTTTATACGTAAACATTTTTATTGTAAACATCAATGGCCAGTCCTGACCCAGTGCCCCTCACTCCTGACCTGCTGCCCCCAGGCCCCAGCCCTCAGTGTGTGTGTGGGGGGGAGGGGGTCTGTGGGGTATGGGGGCAAGGGAAAAGTCACGGTTTCCCACATTTTTCTCCTTTAAAGGAGAATCAATTTTTAAAGTTTGTTCACAACCTTTTCATATGTTCTGGCAATGGACTTTTGGGTCATGACCCACGGGTTGAGAAACACTGCTCTAGGTGACCAAGTGACATCAATAAGTTGCCCAGGCCACAGTAACACCAGATGACATTGCTCTGGCCACAAGAGTTGTTGTTAGAGTGCTGACAACTGTGTAGAAATTTCTCCTGATAGAGGCAGTCATTAAATCCATCACTCCAGGAGATCCAGGAGGGGGTGACTGTCCTTATATAGTGGCTAAGGAAACCTTTTGTTATAGCCCAGTGTTTGAAACTAGGAAGCACTGGGGGTCTTACCCCTCATTTGCGTCAGAGTTATGGGGACTGATGACAGCAGTTTAGGTGGGAATTAAAAAAAACAAAACAAAACAAAAGTGCTAGATAATTCTAGAGCATGCAGTTGTGCTCACAGTACGTACACTCCAGAGTCTAAGTACAGGCAACCCCTGCTTAGCACTCTTAATTGATTCCGGAAAAAATGAGCACTAAGCGAAACCACGTTAAGCAAAACCCATTTTCCCATAGGGTTTAATGTAAATAAATATAATTGGTTCTTGCGCTCCTGCCGGCCCTGGCCCTGCTGCAAGGCACTGCACGGGCTCTACCAGGGAAGGCATCAGCTCCTCCTGGCCTCATTGTTCCACGGCCATAATGGTCCCTGCCGGCTCTCACGTGCTGGCCACATGCACCTGTGTGCAGCCCCAGCTGCCCCGCCTGCGGGGCCTGAGTCGGGGACCTGCCCACCCAGGGATTAACAGCGAGAAGGCAGGGATTAATGGTGAGCAGTAGGGCTCCAGTGGATGACTGCGTGACCGAGTGGAATGGGTCACGAGCTGCAGCCCAGGGATGGGGGGGGCTCTGCAGGCTTGACTCCACTGTGGGCTGGGGCGGGGGACACTGCACATGTGTCCTTGGACACTGGCCCCACACTCCTGCTGGCCCTGGCCTCGGGCCCTGCACTCCTGCAGCCCTACCAGAACTGGCCCAGGCCCCACACTCATGCCTCCTTCCACCACTTCTCGCCACCACCACCGCTCCTCCCTGCCTGCCTGCCGCTACAGCACCATGTGCCAGAGCTGACCCTGGGCTCCTGTCACCCCACCCTGGGCCCCCACCGGCTGCCACTCACTGTTTCATTCGCTGCTGCTGCCACCGCCGCTACTGCCACTGTTTCTCCCTACCTCCTACACTGAGCATTATAATGAAACGGCTAAGTGCTAAGTGAAACCAGGTAGGTATTTTTAATGAGTGCTATAACAAAACCGCGGGAAGCGAAACTGCGTTAAGTGCGGGTTGCCTGTAAAAGATTTCACATGTACTCTAATTTTGCCACTAGAATTTATTTGGCATGACAGTAACAGTGAAGTAGAAATGTAAAGGTTTATATATGTAACCCTCACCCCTGGGTTGCTAGGGATTAAGCAGAGAGGGGTGGGGCCACTCCAAACCCAGGAAAACCAGACCAGAGAGCTGGGTTCAACTACTGCCTCCAAACTGCTTTACGGGCTAGCTGGAGGGGAAGTGGGAGCTGGGTTCAACTACTGCCTCCAAACTGCTTTACAGGCTAGCTGGAGGGGAAGTGGGAAAGAGGAGCAGCAAGGTGGGAGCTATTTTGCCTGGAGTCAGGTGGAAGGAGCTGGTGAGAGGCCTTGCTCCCTGATATGCTCCATGCACCATTGAAAGAGGCCCACAGGGAGATAGTGGAGGAGCCTGGTCTGAGCGTCGGTGGGAGAAGGAGCGATTTCCCCACTGTGGAGACCCCTGCAGAGAGAGAATCTGACTGCTGTGACAGAGAAAGGCCTGAGTTCCACTTAAAAGGCTGCAGAAGTTAATGCAATCAGTTGGTTGTGGAGCAGTGAAAGTCCTTGTGCCATCTGGAACAGCTGGGGTTTCGCACAAAGTGAAGAGTTTCCCTCCAAAAGGTCCTTACAAGACTGTTGGAGTTGGATTTTTAAGCTGTAATGTTGAAAGGGGTAATTTTGTTATCAGGTTTCAATGCCAGGTTACAGCTTGCTGTTTGCTTATGTGTATAAATAAATCAAACTTGTTTGTACCCTCCTGTTAAATTGAGATACATTTGGGGAAACTGAGTCACTGCTGCCACATATATATAGTTTTGTGAGAGGGGTTACATATACATGGATCTGCCTGCAAGCTGGGGCCTCATAGATTTGAACTCTATGTAGAAAGGTGTGTACCAAGTTTGCAGGCATATCAGTGGAGGTTGGTCTTTCAGAAGCTAGCCAAAAAATGTATGTAGGTTCTGTACTATTTTGTTTTACAGCCTCTTATACTGTCCAGTCCCTGCAGGTACCTTGGAGAAAAGAGCACAGGTAACAGGAGAGAAAAGTTTAGACACCAAAATGCCAATTTCTCTGTATTTGGCTCAAATGCTAGCTGTAGTTACAAGACCTCAGTAAATGTGTTTTTTAATAAAATACTAGTTTAGTTTTATAATCAGGGAGTAGTAACATAACAATGGTGTCCAAGGCATAAAAATAACAGCTCCTGCTACAGCTGGCTGGTTGTGCTACTGCTGCTGGCAGCCAGGAGCTGCTGCTGCCCTGTGTACCAGCACAGTTTTGCATGCTGAACTGCCCTGTTTTGCCTCCAGCAAGCTACCTGTGACAGGGCGTGCTGGCAGTCTAACAAAACGGTCAGAGCCAAGGGTGTGTAGCCAGGAATTAAAAGTAAAAGACAGGAGTCGGGAGACCAGTCCTGGGCAAGGCTGAGAGCACACAGAACGCACTTGTGTTAAGCCACCAATACACTATGCTCACAGATGATCTTAAAAAGAGCCCTAAGGCCTCTTTCAGCCAGTTGGGTAGCATACAGGCATAGACAGCCTGACATGGCCCATCTGGTCCATCAGAGTAGGCAGGGCTGACTATTAGGGTTCATGACTCATGGTGCCCTTTTTTGTTAATAGCTTGTGCATGACTATGAAACAGATATAAGCACATCCAAATGCCTGTATGCAGTACTGAAATAATGCTGCAAAATACTGAAGACCTGGCTGGGATTGTGGAGGGACCACATTGCAAAATGAGGTATCAGGAGTGTTTTCTAGTGAATCAATCAGAGTTCTTTCAGGGACTCCTGGTGACTGCAGCCTAAATCAGTGGCTACTTTTTCAAATCAGCATGTACTTCAAGCACACGGGGTGGCTCCATTTAGCTGGGCACTGTGGATGAGGATCAAGACTTTCTTGGTCCCAAAATCACCATCCTTTTTCAGATCCCAGTACCTGTTAGATTTTTGGAGTTTCTGTGCTTTCCTGTTATTCAGGAAAAACAGGGGTCAACTCCCTATGTAACTTCCTGATGAGGCTGAAGTTGGTTGCTTATTCCCAGTTCTTTACTCCCGATTTCCTATTCCTTAGTCCCAGTTCCCTATTCCTTATTCCCAGTTCCCAGTTCCTTTTTCAAAGTGAATCTAGACCCAATAAAAGCTTGTTATTAATAAATTGCACATCCTGAAGAGAGAGAATTTCATTAGATATGTATATGTACTAATTAATTTGTA